TAAAAAAAATAAAAAATAAAAAATAAATTTCTGCTGTCGTTATATAAACAAGGTATACATATTTTTAAAAATAAATAAATAGAGGGGCTCCTGGGTAGCTCAGTTGGTTGAGCAACTGCCTTCCACTCGGGTCATGATCTCAGACCCGAGCAACTGCCTTCCGCTGGGGTCATGATCTCAGACCCAGAGTCCTGGAATTGAGCCCTGCATTGGGGTCCCTGCTCCACGGGAAGCCTGCTTCTCCCTCTCCCATTCCCCCTGCTTGTGTTCCCTCTCTCGCTGTCTCTCTCTCTGTCAACTAAATAAGTAAAACCTTAAAAAAAAAAAAAATAGATAGATAAATAAATAAATAAGGCAGGTTGTTTTTTAAAATATTCACGTCAATGAATTTCTTATGTAATATTAAATATAATGAAAAAAAGAATCAATTCATAGCAGCAACCTAAAATGTAAACTGTCTAGGGATAAAGTTTTTTAAAAAATGTATAAGATCCACTGTGCAACCTTGAAGAAGATATGAAAAAGTGCAGAAGAATTTTATGTTCCTGATTAGGAGGACAATACTTATAACAGTGACAGTTTTCTGTAAACATACTCTATAAATGTAACAAAATCCAAATGAACAAATAAATATAAGTCAATCCCAATCCAACCTGAATGAAGTTTTTTACAACCTTCAATGATACTTGTTATGCATGTATCTTTATATAAAAAAACATTCATTTAGGATACATTCTTATAAATAGATTTACTAGGTCAAATATATACAAATTTACTTAGGTTTTTAATGTATATTATCAGGTTATTCACAAGAAAAATGGATGTCTAATTAAGGCTTTCATAGTCAACCTTGCCTTCTCATTCTTTTCAATCTTTTTGGTTTTTTAAGTGTAACTACTGTTACCTGTTTCTTTTGCCTTTTTTCCTAGTACTAGGAAGCTTCCTAAGCTTATTAACCATCTTCGTTCTCTTTTTTTGTGTGTGATATGCCTCTCCATACAAATTTTCCTATTTTTCTAACTAAACATTACCTTTTATTTTAAAGTTTTTATTTATTTATTTGACAGAGAGAGAGCACAAGCAGGGGGAGCGGCAGGCAGAGGCAGAGGGAGAAAAACAGGCTTTCTGCCCCCGAGTGGAGCGGAGAGCCCCGCAGGGCTCAATCTCAGGACCCTGGGATCCTGACCCGAGCTGAAAGCAGATGCTTAACTGAATGAGCCACCCAGGGGCCCCTGAACATTACTTTTCAGTAGCTTATACGTGAAGTTTATCGTATACTATTTGCTCCTAATAAATGTAACTATATCCTTTCAAAATGTCTTGCTTTTTTTTAAACACTTGGGATTTGAAACTTACAAGGGTGCATTTTTTTTATTGGTGTGTTACATTTAAATTTATATACTTAAATGAATTTAGTTTGTTCCTTTTTGTAGATATAATGGTGGTTGAATCCTCCTGAGACTAAAAATTAACAGTTCAAAAGTTGGCTAACTGTTTCAGTGCTATAGATAAGTAATGACAGTAATGGTAATGAGGCAGGAGAGAAGTGGAAAGACATGAGGGATAATGGGAGGTAGCGTCCCCAGGGGTTGGTGTCAGTGAGCATAGGGACACTTGGGCTGTGGCTCAAGCAACAAGGTAAGAGGGGTGGCTGCCCTCTGTAGAAGGTGTGGTACTGAGTTCAAACTGAGACATCTTAAATTGAGATGGTGACTTATTTATTATATATGAGGCTGCAGTTCAGCAGGAGATACAGGTTGGATAAAGATGCGGGAGACTTCAACATAAGGTGGTAAATGATGGTAAGTGAAGGCAGTATGAGGAGTGGGAGAGTGAAAAGAGAAATGCTTAATATCTATGTCAATCCTTATGGGGCTTGATTTTATTCATTTTCCCACTACTGTTTGAATTTCTGTATGCAAATTAGTGTAATTATCTAATGTGTTTAAGTCATCTTTCCAATGTAGCCATGACAGAACTATATTTTATAATATGCATATATAACAAATGCTTATTAAGTTATATTTAATAAGTTCATCTAAAAACTACACATGGCATCAAAGATGTGCCAGCTTTGAGGCATAATATATGAAGTTACATTTTACCAACTCCAGATATATAGAACGATCACTCCTCATAATATAAAAGTCCTTTCTACCATGACACATACCACGCATACCTAAGTATAAAATGCATTTATTCTCTAATATTGATTTTGATGTGATTTATTTATAATCACTTCTTAGAAAAATTCATTACCTTCAATGTAGCATCTATTAAGAATTTAAAATTTTTTTCATGGATACTGATTAAACTTTTTAAAGAATGTTAGTAGGACTCTATTATATATATATTTTTTTTAAGATTTTTTTTATTTATTTGACAGAGAGAGACACAGCGAGAGAGGGAACACAAGCAGGGGGAGTGGGAGAGGGAGAAGCAGACTCCCCACCGAGCAGGGAGCCCGATGCGGGGCTCGATCCCAGGACCGTGGGACCATGACCTGAGCTGAAGCTAGACGCCTAATGACTTGAGACACCCAGGCGCCCCTATTTTATATATTTAAAATGAGATTTAAAAGTGATATTTTCTTTCACTTTTTACTTCTTAAAATATACTTTTTTTTCTTATTTTTACCTATCAATCTTATGGAAAAATAACAGAAAGAAGCTACTGATCCTACTTGATATTCCCTAAGAACACTGAAATGAAATCTTTAGGAAGATAGAAGAGAGAAAGAAATTCTCCAATTCTGCTTCAGAAGTAATACAATAAGGATTAGTGTAATCTATACCTCACTAATTTAAGAAAATCCTCCAAACTCAATTCATTTTAATATCGTAACAAAAGAATTCCCTTTAATTTAGTGTAGCTTAACTTAAAATGTAAGATTTTTCAGGTATTCTTGCTAAATTCAAAATTTTTTTAAAAACCAGAAAAATACAGATATCACGCGTCCTTTCCCTTCTACCCCTGGCACATATCCCTCATTTTATCCCCCACAGATATTCAGAAATGTGCTAGAGTCTGTGCCTTGATGTTTCAAACCCATCTCATTTTTGGGCCTTCTCCTTCCCTGGCCCAAGTACAATGAACAGAATTTGGCTGTTCTTTCTTCCTACCAGTTTTCCACATTTTCTTATGGCTTTTCAATTTCATCTTATGCAGAACATTTTTAGTTATCTTTTCTTAATGTCCAGTCATGGTTGTAGCCAAGTCTTCGGAGATGTTCACACCATTATTTCAGTGATTTTAAACTCATTCTAACTACTTTCAATTCTTTGGTCTATTCAAACCAATACTGGCAAAAGTTCTAAGTAGGTCTCAGCTTTCCTCCAAGTCCTCTTTCTTATTCTATGTCACAGACCCACTTCCCTTTGAAGTTGATTGATGGAAAAAAGGATCTGAGCCTTTAGAATCTCAAAAGGTGTAAGAATGAAGCTTTCTTGGAGATAATATAAATCGTGGCATAAACATTTTGGGGCCAGGTGACACTCTTTCCTCTCAAACAGAGAAACTAAGATTTTCCTACTCTGTAGGAAATAATTCATAGATAATGAGCTTCTCACTAAGGTTAAAATATGGGGACCTTTTGAAATGATGTATCAAAATGTGCTTCAAATGTAGTTTAGTTAAACACATTTATGAGTGGCTATGCCTGTACAAAACCCAGAAGCTTCAGAGATAAATAAATAGTTTTTAGCTAATGATGTTTAGTAATACTAATGGTATTACTAAGTGATAATTACTAACACATATATATTTACTGTGTACCAAATACTGGAGTAAATATTTTAAATAGACACTAAAAGAATCTGCTCTCAGAGTAGTATTTATGACACTGCTGCCTACATTGATAACCTCACAGATAGTAAGTCTTATTTTTACATGTGTTTCTTTCTCATCCAATATATTCAAAATCATATTAATGTCATCTGCCTTTTGAGCCCTGTGTTGTTGGCACCCCAGTATGAACTGAATGGAGATTTTATCTGGGAACACAGTGTCCATGTTCCCATAAAAATGTATTTCTACTGCCTCTAAGAAGGTTTCTTCTTCATAAATAATGAAACCATCAAGAGCCAGCTTGAAAGCATACGTGGAATATCTCAAGCTCATGGGCAAAACACCATAATCCAAGCTTGGCTTCCTCATTAACAAGCAAAGTGGGGTTTGAGATCAGCCTATCTAGGGCTGCCTACATTGAGCTGATGACTTAAAGATAGAACTTTATGGGAACCTTAAATGCCTTGCAGTTTATTATTTTTTAAAAGATTTATTCATTTATTTTAGAGGGGGGAGGGGCCATGGGAGAAGGGAGAGAGAATCTCGAGCAGACTCTCTCTGAGCATGGAGCTAGACTCAGGGCTCCATCTCATGACCCTGAGGTCACCACCTGAGCTGAAATCAAGAGTCGAATGCTCAACCAACTTCGCCGCCAAGGCGCCTCAAATGCCTTGCAGTTTAGAAGTGGTAATTATCATTTTCTCTAGCAATGACTAAAAGGCCTGTGTATGGAAAGAATCTCTTTTCCCCTTTATTAAAATTTTGTCTTACTGAGGCCTCAGCCCATGCTGAGGTCTTCCAGTGACCCAGGTACATATCTGAGACCAGCATTTATATAATTCAAAATCAAGCTACTGCACCCTAAACCCTCCAACCCTGATCGTTTGGCAGGCTTCCTTACAGTCATCTTCTTTGCTGAGGCCAGTGAGACAGGGATTTGCTTGCAAGGCTAAGAGCAGCTAGTGTGTGCTGAGGGCCCTTGTAGGGCTAACATTTGGTTGGACCTCTCTGAATATCTTAGTTCTCTAAGAAGAACTCTCTTTGCAGTTTCTGTTGGCTAAGATAACCACCAACTTTATAACAACCTGGACAATATACTAACTATCTAGTGTATTTTTCAATAACTCCATGAAAACACACAGCAATTCATCCTTAGACAGAGCCACCATAAAGTATAATGATCACCAAGATGAAAACACCATGTGGCCAGTACCTTAGGTCTTCAGCCTTATACCCAAGTCAACATTTAAAAAACAGCTACACAATTTGTAAAGAAGAAGAAGAAGAAGAAGAAGAGGAAGAGGAGGAGGAGGAGTAAGCTGATCCACATATTAAAACACATGAGCCACACTCCCCAAATATGCTCCATTTCTGTTTCTTATCAATCTGGCTCTGTCTAGATTCTGACATTCTCCTGAATTGAACTTCTCCACCCAAACTGCAAGACACTTCCACAGGGACAGGCCTTTTTACCAGACATTGGAAAAGCAGAGCCGAATATATGCTCTTTGGAGGCAGCCCAGCTCGTAAAGGGAAGGAGTGAGAGAGTGGGCTGGGTGGCTTTCACATCTCCCAATTTCTCCTCCCAGACTCTTGGGCCAAAAAACTGAATGTTACGATAAAGGGGTTTCCAGCATATACAGGCAAATTAGGAAGGAGTAATTTCTTCCATAATTATTATTACATACCAGATAAACCTTATTTTGAATACATTCTGTAACTGGTTTAAAAACATCTGATTTGTAAAATAATTTAAAAGAAAATATTGCTATTCTTGAGCATATTAAGACTTAAAATATGGCTTGATAAATAACAGGATTCTTCTGATGGGTAGATCAGGCTATCAATTGTACATACAAATTGGTGTTCATTAAAAAAAAATTGTTCTACTCAAATTACTCTCCACTGACAAATAATGACTTAGAAAGCATTTACTTTATTGTTTAAAAAAGTAAAATTCACAAATTGCCCATATTTAAAGAGATGACTGCTTACCATATACTAACTGGTTTCCAGTTATGGAAGGAATAAGTCATGGAAATAAAAGGCACACCATAAAGAATACAGTCAGCGAAACTGTAATAGCTATCAAATGATAATGCACAGAGAACTAAATAAAATGGTATTGTACACAGTTGTTGGGAAGCTCCCACATTTCTCCTCATGGTGACCCTCTCTTCTTGTCTAGTTCCTTTGCTTCCATGATCCCTCTTCAACATACGTTTATCAAGTACCCACTATGTGTTAGACAAGTGCTGTTCCCTACATTGCCCAGGTCCCCAGTGTGGCAGTGCTGGGTACAATTCTTTAGACCACTGTTTCATTCCTTCTCAGGACTAACTGTTGGGAAGGATCTCATCATCTAATTCATTATGAAGTACTACATATCCTGGACAGGTTAACCTACTACTCAGTACCAGAGTTTTCACTTCACATATGTAAATATGCCTTAACCCAAAAGGATGAATTCGTACTTTCATCCAACAAGAGGTAACTTTTCTTAAGATGCCTTTCTACTTTTCTTCAAACCAAAAACCTCTTTCAAACCACGACAGCCACCCACTCTTGAGATAGAACGCTGCTTGCTATATTGTGCTCTTTTCCTAGATACTAAGGGAAGTATGGGTTCATATGGTGATAAATATATTCTCTATTACATTTATATTGAGCTGGTCCATTTGTTACTATCACTATCTGCACCACAGAATTGTGAGAAATGCATTGTAGAAGTTGGAACTAATAAACTGACATGGCTTTCAAATTGCCTTAAAATTATTCCAGGATATTCCTAACTTCATTCATTATACACAAATTTGTGCTAGTTGTTCTGTATATAAAATGTGACTGATTCATTGAGAGCTTATCCTGAGATGTTTAAAATGAATACTACATAATGTCTGTCTTTCTTTGAACCAGAAGCTGAAGCTAATTTTATGCTGAAAATTCATCCTCTGAAGAAATACCCTGTGGATCTTTATTATCTGGTTGATGTCTCGGCATCAATGCATAACAATATTGAAAAATTAAATTCCGTTGGAAATGATTTATCTAGAAAAATGGCATATTTTTCCCGTGATTTCCGCCTTGGATTTGGCTCCTATGTTGATAAAACAGTTTCACCATATATTAGCATCCACCCAGAAAGGATTCATAATCAATGCAGGTATCTAGGGGTTGATGTGGACTTCATAATACCAAATTAAATTTTTTCTTATAAAATCTCTCTTTGTTTTTATATAAAGGACTCACTAAATTTTATATTTTTGTTTTATTAAGTGAGAAATGAAAATATTTGGAGAGGAGGTATGTTCCTATCTGAAAACTTACGAGATTATGTGTAGCTTGGACTTTTTGTTTTTTCAAATATCACTCAGTTTCATCACAAAAAACCCACAAGTAATATTAGTAATTTTGGATAAACCCCCAATATTCAGGCCACCATGCAAATAAATACCTGTTTGAGAATTCTGTATGTGTCCTTTTTGATGGCTCCGAATTTGTTAAATTAAGGTTTGTCACATTTAAAATACTTAATGTTGCCAGTCCTGCAACTATCTTTACATTACTCTGTAGTGACTGTTTATAATTATGTTGCCTAAGATGTGACTTCAAAGAAAGTTCAGCTAGGACATGAAGGGTAGTTGGAAAGAGGAGAATTTGTCTGGTTTCTGGAAAGAGACCCTTTTCTTATCATTTGGAAAGTCTGATTCTAAAGAGCATATGCTGCACTATGAAACAAGAACTGACCTTAAAAATACAAGTTTCTCAGACAGTATCTTAATTAGCCTGTTGAGTTCTCAGGGAGAAATGTGTTCAGTTCTTCCTTAATATAACATTTCATTTTAACATCATCTTTCCTACTTCCAGGAATTGCCGAAATCACTTTACAGTACACACTCTCATCTACCAAAACAGCTCTGCTAACTATTGGAATGAATACATCTCCTCATGGAGCTTCATGTTCCTTCTCCTTAAACGCTCACGTGCCTGTGGAATGATTCTCACTTCTTGGGACATCATGGCAGTCTCAAAACAATTTTAATAAACTCTGATTGTTCATCAATAATTTCACACCAAGCAACACTTTAAAAAGTTAGCACAATATTTTTAAATACCCAGCAATAGTATAATATTTTCACTAAATTCCTAAAAACAGTTCCCCAAAAGTGTTTTTCAGCTGTCCCATGGTCAAATACAATAGGAAATCACTGCAAATTCTTATCTCCTCTTAAAAATTAACCATGTATATTAGCATAATAAAAGCTCTTTAGGTGTCCTATATTAAACATACTTAATCTTCTTTAGTTTTTGGACACCAAACCATTATATTCCTATTTCCTACTTGCAAAGAAATATCCACCAATATTGAACTTTTCTCTGATTTTATAAAGTACAGATTTTCTCTAATAAAATTACCTTGACAAAAATATATTTTTATATAAATATAAATAAAATATATTTATATAAACATAAATATTTAATATATAAATATAAAATATATAAATATGTGCTTATATTTTATATATATTTATATCTTATATACTTATATGTTTATTTTTATATATGTATATTCCTTTCTTACACCAAACCACACAATTTAAATGTGAATAGTATTTTGAATCTTTGAATGAAGCGTAGCAAAACAATTTGCATTTCTTCTTTTCCCATATAGTGACTACAATTTAGATTGCATGCCTCCTCATGGATACATCCATGTGCTATCTTTGACGGAGAACATTACTGAGTTTGAAAAAGCAGTTCACAGACAAAAGATCTCTGGAAATATAGATACACCTGAAGGAGGTTTTGATGCCATGCTTCAGGCAGCTGTCTGTGAGGTAAGAAGTTTCCCATTATCGAGTTTTTGCTCAGATGCAAAATTCTCCAGAATTTAAGATTTTTATTTTCTCTTTAATTTATAGAGTGAAAACATAATATAGAAGAATACATTCTTCTAATGCTTATTCCTTACCAATGTTACTCATTTTGGTATGTGTTCAGGACAGAGGGGCTAAATTGGAAGAGGGTTATAAATAGGAAAATATGAAAGGGAAAAAATAACTTATGCACTTGGAAAATCTTTTCCAAAAGAGTACTCTTTTCACTCACCACTTTCCAAGGAAGAGCCTGAAATAGCCTGTTTTCCTACCCACGTTGTGTTGGGTGCTCTGTACTTTGTAAACTTGGCTTGTTCTTCCTCTGGGGGAACACCAGAAATCTCTAGCTGGGAGTTGGTGCAGTCAAATGGCTGTGGTAAAATAGAGGATATACAAATAAAAGTCAGTGCTACTTAGGAAACAGCATTGTATTTATGCATTTCATTCCAGCCTGACTTAATGTTTGTTAAACTCAAACTTAATGTTTCTTGAGATAAAGACCACAGTACAGATCTATGTTATTGTACAAGATCTAATTACATGTTTATTTTAAGAGTCATATTGGATGGCGAAAAGAAGCTAAAAGATTGCTGCTGGTGATGACAGATCAGACATCTCATCTTGCTCTTGATAGCAAATTGGCAGGCATAGTGGTGCCAAATGACGGAAACTGCCATCTGAAAAACAACATCTACGTCAGATCGACAAGCATGGTAATGTAGCAAAAGCTTCTTAGTCATTATGACTCTTTTGGCTAAAGTGTAAGTTTAAATTGGCAATTCAGCTGTTTTTGTACAAAGGAATTACCTAAACAAGCATGATACAGAGTCAGGATAAACCATGAGAGAGAAGTTATGGAATAATGCAATCTATAAATGCTGATTGATATAAGGCTAAAACACTTTAACAACATCCTGTAGCTAACTCTCTGATATGCTAAAAAGCATTGTATAATAGGTCAAAATAAAAGTGATACAAGAGGGGCGCCTGGGTGGCTCAGTCGTTAAGCGTCTGCCTTCGGCTCAGGTCGTGATCCCGGGGTCCTGGGATCGAGCCCCGCATCGAGCCCCGCATCGAGCCCCGTATCGGGCTCCCTGCTCCGCGGGAGGCCTGCTTCTCCCTCCCCCACTCCCCCTGCTTGTGTTCCTTCTCTGGCTGTGTCTCTCTCTGTCAAATAAATAAAAATCTTTAAAAAAAAAAAAAAAAAAGCGATACAAGAGCTTACTTTTTATACAAGTGAATAACTTTAAAAGGAAATATATACACACACACACACACACACACATACATACATATTAGTTCTGCAGAGTTGGTATCTAAACACATATTAAGAATTGGTAAGAAAAGGATATTTGGCCTGAAGAATCCTCACGGTATAATAGGTACAACTAAATAGAGATTAAGAAAAAAAAAAAAGAGTGAAAACAAGGCCAGCTGTCAATATTCTGGACCTCACTGCTTCCCTCTGAAGCTTATCTATATTTAGGGGCTCTTTTTTTAAACCAGTGGATATCTGGATTGCTTCCTAAGGGTTAGCTTCAGCTCTGAATCATATACTTAATACGATCGCCTAGAAACCACATCTTTCCCAGCATTAGCTATAACTCTATGTGTGGAAAATCAACTGTATAAAGCATCAATTATTTCTGATGGAAACTATACAGAATGTTAGGACAAAATCAAACTTTCTCAGATCTTGGTACCTTAGTGTCTAAATAATTTTTTCCTCTGGATTTCATATGCAAAAAAAAATCTGACAGTTCTGTTATTAAGTAATTAGGTCCAAATAACTTAACTATTAAGAACAGAGTAACCAGTTAAAAAATAATATACATGAATGATCAAAAAAATACATATATGTGTATATATATGTCATTCTTAGTAATGAACTTACTAATAGGAACTTCCTAAGCATTAGAATCAGACTGGACATTACCACCCTCATTTCCTGTTCCACATTGATTTTCAAACTGCCCAGTTTTGCAAAGATATGATGTCATCCAAAGGAACACAGCCAAATGTAATCTTAAAACCACAAACTACCACCAGCTAGTAGTTCATGGCTACCTGATAGATGCCAAATTATCACTTTAAAAATTAACAATATTTCAGGGCACTCTGGTGGGTGTACAAAGGCACCAACACACCTCCTGCACAGTTTGGGAATTGCAATATTAGGAGCATATAAATTGTGCTGAAAGTTGTGTGGTTCCATGAGTCAAGTTAAAATAGTTTAAATTTACTTAATCTGGGACATCTTACCAGACTTACTGCAAATCTAGAGGAGCGAGTATGTTACTGCATAGAACAAATTCAACCCTTGGTTGGTTTAGCCTCTTGAGAGCAGCCTCAAAACTTAAAGATTTTAAAAGGTTAACTAGAGTTTGATTTTTAAATTTTGGGATTTGGAATTATTCCAATAGTCTTTCCCTTTGCTAATTCTCTTCTATTCAGCCACATTTCACTTTGGTAGGCCCACCCACTTTAATTTAGTCATTTCTTATCTTTCCTTCCTTTTATTTAACCTTTTTCAATTGAGATAGAGTTCTCATTATTTACCCGGGAGTGGAGGAGTCAAGAGGAACTATTTTATTGTGCGACAAGGAGAAGCTTTTTTTTTAAAGAAGAAATAATCACATTTTCTCAAATTGCAGTGCATTATCCTTTTGAATTTTTGCCAAGTCCCTGAAATCATGTCTTTATAACTGTATTTTAGAGGGTACTATTGTACATCTAGGAAGGATTCCTTCTGGCAAAGAAATGTTCTCATAATTTTAGACATAGGCCATGCCATATAACCTTATGGAAATAAATTATAATTCTGGTAGAATTTTACACAGCGTTTGGGCTCTTATGACATCAGGAATTTGGACAATCTATCATGAACTTCATTAAGCTTCTTGAACATTGTTCCACCCACTTGAAAGAATGAACCTCCCACATGTCACTGATGTTCATGGAGTAAACCAAGGAGCAGTGTGTTTGTTAACACCTTAGAAGAATATCTGTATCTCATTTATCCCAGGTCTTTGTTTTAAGGGATCCTCTTCCTAAGAATTCTCATTCCCTTCATTTCCAGGGACACTGCCCTAAAACAAAAGAAGTTGAAGCATTTTGATTGATCCCTCGGCTATGCATTTATATCTGCAAGATGTGCTACTGCTCTGAAACTTCCTATATCCAAAGCTACCCTGAACCTGACTCTAAGCACATTTACCTGCTTATTTTAAAATGATCTCCATCCTCTCCTATTTGGCCATTATAGAGGAATTTAAGAAGGTATAAGTTAGATAAGCAAACACTTCGCTTCCCGGCTTTATCTCCAGCAGCCAATACCAGTAATGTTGAATGGTATCTGAGCTTTTTGGTCTAAGACTCTGGTTGTTTTATTTATAAAAGGAAATAACTGATAAAAGACCTTTTATATGACTAAATTACATGGGCCAGAGTTCTACTATTCGTACACATAGCTATTTCATGAGGGTCAATGTGAATTCCAGAATAATAACAACTACCTTTATTAACTGAAACCACTGTAGAAAACACTGCATAGGGGCGCCTGGGTGGCTCAGTCGTTAAGCGGTCTGCCTTCAGCTCAGGTCATGATCCCAGGGTCCTGGGATCGAGCCCCGCATCGGGCTTCCTGCTCAGTGGGAAGCCTGCTTCTCCCTCTCCCACTCCCCCTGCTTGTGTTCCCTCTCTTGCTGTGTCTCTTTCTGTCAAATAAATAAATAAAATCTTTAAAAAAAAAAAAGAAAGAAAGAAAACACTGCACACACTATCGAATTTATCTTCACAGCAACTCTGTAGGGTGGTCATAATTATCCTTAAAAAAAAAAAACAAAACAGAAAAACTGAGAGTAGAAGTCCTTAAGTAAGTTTACTAAGGACAGAGAACTAAAAAGTTACTAAGTAGCAGAACTGGGGCTCAATCCAGTTCAATCTTACATTAAAATCTCTGCCACAATGTCTCAAGGGAAAAGTACAAGAGATAGAGTGCTGAAGTCCTTGGCATAATTTCTGCTCTAATTTCCTGGTTGCAGTCTTACTTATGGAAGACATAAAGCACATAATTTGGTTCACATGAATAAATAAGATGTAATTTAAAATAGTTTCTCTTTACACATTATTATGTATTAGTATATGGCCATTGGAAAATAATGTTATACTATTGAATAAATTACATTTTCCACTGCTTTTTCTCCAAGGTCCAGAATGAAAATTTGAGTAATAATATAGTTTTATAATTTATCCAGTAATAATGGCAGCTTAAAATAATGGAATTCTTTCTAATACAGTAGATATTAGTATAAAAATCATTAATAGTGTAGAAGAAGGTTATTAATACTGAGGGTCTGGAATTTCAACCTGTCTCCCCACCCAGCTCCTCCAGGGTGATTCTCAACCTCACTCAGAGCCTTCCTTACATTCACCCCATCCTTGGCAGAGGCCAAGAATAATACAAAGGTCTCTAGGAACGGTGAAAGGGAGCCAAGGAGCAAATCTTTGGAAGAGGCACACCAGTCATGCAGTGAACCCTTATTAATGGATTTTCAAAGGCTGCTGTGACTCTGTTCTGGACAGAGACATGCAAATAGGCAACACCCTACCGTACTCCTAAACCAATTTAGTAGCTTTAGCTTTGGTATTTCTTTCTGGACTCAGCTTTTTTTGTGCCTCATCATATCATCGTCAGGGATTCTTCACCCCTCCTATCATATAACTCCTCAGATTTCCCTTACTGCTGGCCTCATAGTTTACTCCCTCCCCTGCAGCTCATTTGGATATACTAGCTGCTGAATTGGTCACCACCTTAGAGGATGGAAGCTGAATTGCAGAAGGTTTATTAGGCATTACTAAAGAGTTTTGCTTCCTGATGGGTAAAAAACAGTCAGTATTCTGCTTTGTGACTTCTCATATAACATGTTTAACATGCTACTCACAGTAAGCCATGTAGGAAGCCGCCTTCTTCTTCTTCTTCTTTTTTTAAGAGAGAGTGCAAGCCGGTGAGCCCAGCAGCCCATGTGAGCGGGGGTAGGGGGAGAGGGAGAGGGGGAGAGAGAATCTGAAGCAGACTCCATGCTCAGGGCCAAGCCCAAGGCAGGGCTGGATCTCACAACCCTGAGATCATGACCTGAGCAGAAATCAAGAGTCGGCCATTCAACTTCCGTAGGAAGCCTTCTTTTTTACCATGTATCTCAACTACTTGGAATTATATTCAGTTTTTCCAGAACTGCAGATGAAGAAATGGAGCCTGAGAGGATACTTGACTAGTTTAATCCATAACACTGCTGAGTTAACAAAAGTCAAAGTTATTATATTTGTGTTCCTTTTTCTCTGAAAGGGTTATTTCTGACATTTTCAAATGTCTGGGAGACTCATTTATAATTAATGTTGTTATTAGACAGCATTCATTGTAAGGTGACAATTTTAATCTTTTAGTAAAAAGACTTGTTAATCATTTTTGCTGCTCTATAAGAAATAACTTAGAAATAACTTCAGAAAGTGTTAAATGTCTTTTTTTCTGCTTCTCACCTTCTTTGTCTCAGACACATATTAATAAAAATGTTAATTCCTTGAGCACTTATTTTGCACTAACAGTGCTGAGCATATTGTTTATGTTATCTCATTTAGTCTTCACCATAAGCCATGTTATAAATAAGGAAGCTGAAACTTAAGAGACCTCAGATTCATTTACGCAAGGTCACTGAGA